TGCAGCAAGTGGTTTCTGAACGGTAAATCCACAACAAAACACTTGTCGTTTCCAACAGTACACAGTGGTAAAATAAACTGAGCAAACATGCTTGCGCAGCTCTGATCGGGCTGATAGATGAGGGGCTGGGCTTAGCTGAGGTTGCTAGGTAACGGGGCAGTGCCCACCCGTTGTGACTTCATAATCGGGAGGTTTTGGAAAACTCTTGTTTTCCAAAAAAACACAGTATATTGTTGCCAGAAAAAGACTTGGGTTGTTTCTGGAAGCAGTAACGACACAAATCGAAGTCCAAAAACATACAAAGAAAAAAAGGAATTTTGCACAAAAGATCCCCTTTAACAACTTCATGGAAAGAGTGAACAATACAGAGACAAACTGTTTTGTAAGAATCTTAAGTCTGGCGTCATTTAAGCCGGGTTTTTCTTCTTTTGATTTCTTTTCGGCTTTTCGTTTTCTTAAAATTGACATTTTACAATCGACTGGTTGGAAATTTTACGTTTAAAAGCCCAGATTTGAATAGTCGGCTCCCAAAAGAATATCGGTTTAAAAGAAGATCAAAAATAATGTTGCAAGGGCCTGAGAAAAAATACAATCAACAAAGGAAAAGGGGGGGAGCTGGGAAAAAGAAAGTCGGCTTAATTTAGCATTGAGGGTCAGGTTCAGCGTAATTCTCAAAGCCTTGTAAAAGTGCAGAGCCAAGAGAACGTCAACAAACAGACTACAGCTGTCGCACTCGCACCGGGAGACGCTCATGCATACGAGAGGAGGCGGATGGTGGAAGTGAGAGAAGAGAGGAGGAGGCACGGAGACAAGAAAGAGGCAGGAGAAAACAAACAGGGTAGGACGTGCTGATATCAAGGAACCCACACACACACACACACACACACACACACACACACACAAGACTTCCCTACTGACACCTCATCCAACACCAGCAAATCCCCTCAACAAACAAACAAGTGCACCGCAAGGGTGGATCGTTCAATTTGTCAGCAGTCCCATTAATTCCAGCCTCATATCCCATAATTCCATTCCTTCTTTAAGTCTCTCTCTTTTTGCACCCTCAAAACCCTCCTCCTCTTATTTTTCCTTGAATCCGTTTGTGCTCGTGCTAAAACCTCGGCAATCCGTGTACAGTAAATGCTAATGGCATTTTACGATGACGCGGTCCTCTTTAAGGCATGATGGGGCCTTTATGTGCAGGTTTAGCGGCTGACAGGTTAGCGGGTTTAGTTAACAGCCGACGTGCCTGCTGGCACGGTGGCGGGATTTAGGGGGGGCTTAGCATTGAGAAGGCCACTGTTGCTTGGAGTGGCAGCGGACTCGACCGAATTTCACAGAAGAGACGGGGATTGCGGGATTTTCGAGACGTTTAATGCTTTTGTTCTGATGCGTGGAGACAGTCGAGCGTGGATCGCATTTACACGTATGGACTTGGATAATTGGTGTGATCGGATTGTAAGTGGAAATAATGTGATTTAAATATATATATATATATATATATATATATATATATATATATATGTATATATATATATATATATATATATATATATGAAGCATTCCCTATATATGAAAAAAAAAATGCCAGAAAGACGCTGCCGGCAAATATTCCACTTCTGTTTTGTTGGAGCGCAAGTTTTCTGCTAACATCATCTTTTTGGATAACGCATTGAAAATATCTTGTGTGTTGGTTTAAGCTGCTTAAATCCATTGACATATTCTTCTATTAAAATTTATATACTTAAATTGACATAACTCAGGCTGGGAAATAAAGAGATAATGTGTGAAGTGCCTCTCAAAAGGGCTCTTATGCCTTTGGTCGACTTACAAACACAAACTTCAATGTTGTCTTTTCTTTCAATAGATCAAAACTAAGAGGTGGAAAATGGTGACGTGGAAGAAAATTGATATATTTTTCAGTGTGACATGAAGTTATATTCAGGCCACTTTATTCTGATGACCCCAAAATAAAGCCCTATACATGGGGATAAAGTTGTAAAGAAGTCTTTTTTTTTTTGTATCTTTTCATTTTTTGTCTCATTTGGTTTTGTCCTGTCCAGGTGTACCATACCATACTATAGAAGCAAGCTGGTTAATTTACTCATCATTCCAGTAAAACATGGTGGTCACCTTCCAGTAGGAAAATTGTGAACTTAAACATTGAGTGAAGCTACGACTGGATGGTTTAAATCAAAGTATATGGCCTCGTTAGAATGGAACAGTTAAAAGTCAAGATCAAAATCTTTGGCGAGACTTGAAAATTGACCGGCGCTCTCAATCCAGTCAGACTGACCTTGAACTATTAGACTGGGCAAAAATCTTAGTCTTAAGATGTGCAAAAATGACAGAAAACACACCCAAAAAACCCTGCAGCTACTGAAGATATTCATGCTGAGCATCGGCTGCAAAATGCGAACACAGGAACCGCTTTTCAGATTTTCATTTGTAGGCAGAAAAGAATATAACCTTTGTCCTCCATTTCCCTATTATGCACCATTTGCTGTTGGTCTAGCATATTACAACCCAATAAAGTGCTTGTTAAAGTTTGTGGCTGTGACATGAAACAATATTTAAATGCACAAACTTTTTAACATGTCTGTACATAGAGCACAGAACATAGTTGCTACTGTCCACATGTTGCTCAAATAAATCCGACTTAATCGACAGCAAAACCTGGAACTATTTTTTGCTTCTCGTCGGTTTATGGCGTCCATAAAGCCACATGTAATTAATTTCACGTGGACGAGAGATATCTGCACTTTGTTAGCAATTGTAAATTAAATCCAAAGATTACAAATTATATCAGCGCTGAAAAGTTACCTCGAGATACCTCAGTGCACCGGGACAATTCGTTCCCTGTTATCTAACGTCTTTGCCACACTATAACGTATCCGTGAGATCGCTCAATGAAACTTGCTTTGTGAAATAGAGAGAAAAAAAAACTAATGCTAATAACCCCTAAAGTAGTGAAATGGTGCAAACATTGACATGATATTTTAAACTGCTTGTGTACCTTCTATATAAAGACTGAAAAGACGTTACTGCTCTGTGACCACAGTCAGTAATGATACTTTATGATCCCAAGCATAATAAAGCTCCTAATCAGTATGGCAGTCCAAAATAGGTTACTGTGTGAAGCTGCCAGCTAGCTACACACACACGTGTATGCGTGTGTGCGTGTGTGTGTGTGTGTGTGTGTGTGTGTGTGTGTGTGTGTGTGTGTGTGTGAAACAGCAAAAGCATTATCCTCATGGGAATGTCCCAAAGAGTTGTTTGTTCGTTACGGCTCCTCTGGATAGCCAAGCTCAGTGAAGGGGAACCCATAACTCTGTGCCGTAAGCAGCTCCTCTACACCCTGAAATGTCTTTAAAGCCTACGGCTGAAGTAGAAGCTGCTTTTGCTAAACGTTAACCTGGCCAGGTACAGATTTGAAAATATCTAAAGACATTCCATTTGATGTGACTCTGTCCCTGGTGCTTGATCTCGTCTCTTTAAAAATCACACCCATCTACGTAATCTTTAGACTCCTTCCCAACTGCCACCCTCATCCCACCACCGCCAGCCACTGGGTCTCGTTTTCTTTAATTTCCCGCCTCTACTTTTCTTCCTTCATTCCTTTTTCTCACCCGTCTCTCCTGCGTTTTTTTTTTTTTTCCCTTTTATCGGATCAGTCTCAGGTCGTCGCCTCTGTCTCTCATCTGTTACATCAAGGACGAATCACCCACTCACAAATCCAAAGACATGAGAGAGAGAGAGAGTGAGAAGAGGGAAGATTGATGTATCGATAAGAGATCAGGCAGAAAGTCTGTTACAGCTTTTAATCTGGAATGCAGAAAAATATGGACCGCCCTAATTAGACGGCGTGAGCCCGGATCTCCGTCTGCACATCTCCCAATTTGCCACCAGGATCCGACGCAGCTTGTTGACATGTGTAGGAGATGTCGCCGGTCATGCTAAAAAGCTGTTTGTGTCTCTGCTAGAGTGTTTGTGCTTGGAGCTTTGACAACCCCGTGGCCACACACACACACCCGCAAACACAGCCTGCCAAGTGTAAGGGTGTGTGGGTAAATCTTTTGGCAATGTGGCTGCCAGTGCAAAGCGATGATGAATGCTGATGGCAAAGAGCACAGCCAGTCTCTGAACCCGTCTCACTCACACACACACACACACACACACACACACACACACACACACACACACACACAATGATCAGATTCCCAGTGCATGAGGGCCAAATGGCATCGTTCCACTGGTAAATGCTAATGAGACCAGTGAAGCTTGTGCACTTGTGAAAGGATACCAAGAGCCAGGAGAGATGATGACAAGAGAACATAGATGGAATTGTTCATTGGTCTAAGACAACTCTGTGAGTTTCCTCACAAAATGTAGCAACTTTGTTTTTCATTTCACATTGTTAAAATTGTTGTTCTTATGAGCAAGCAATGCAGGAAAGTTTCTGTCTTTATCTTCGACTGACCAATCTCTAAATCCGTCAAGTCAAATGACTGAGGAAATCCTTCAATAGTGTGAATGACAAAACTGGTAGAAAACACAACTCAATACACTGCTCCAAATTCCCCCAATCAAATGTTTACTGAATAGACATAAAATATGCTGTTATCTGAAATTGTGGTTGATAAATGAGATATTTAAACTAGGTCCACATAAAGATGCCTGCTGATGTGTAAATGTAGTTAAAAGGTGATTGGTCAAATGGGCTAACCAAACCTGACTTCCAAGGTCTTGAAAAAGTGACATTTTCAATGCATTTTAAGGCTAAATAAGTTAAACTAAAAAGAGCTAAATGACACACAATGATCAGATTCCCATGAATGACCATAAAAAACATGTCCATGCATGTTGGGAGTTTGAAGGACAGCTGGTTTAAGAAGTGGAAATGCTAGCATATACCAAAGAAAACTATTTCCTTTGTAAGCTATGCTGAAAGTGCAATCACACTCAGTACAGTGTCATGGGAAACGTAACTCAGTACTCACAGCGTTCAATGCGGTCCTCTGGGCTGGAGGAAGTCTCTCGGTCTGACAGGAGGCCGGACACGGCGAAGATCTTTTTCCCGCTGTCCTCAACTGCTTTCAAGGCGCTGCTGGGCGAGCCTCCTGGAGGGATCTGGGTGCCGCCAAAGTCATATTCTTTCCCCTCGGCATCAGAGTAACGCAGGTGGGGTGAAGCCTCCGCATCCAGGCAGCCCTTGAGGCGCTTCGCCGGGGTGAACGCAGATTGATAACCGCCCGGTGCCCCGTCCCGATCTTCCGGAGGCGAGGCAAAAGGCCTGAAGGCGCCCACACCGCTGTGGTTCAGCATGCTGATGGGCGAGCAGTCCAGGTTGGGCGGGGCGAACTGATGATGAAGGTGGAGGAGGGACGGAGGAAAGTCCCTGTTGGGAAATCCTGGCGGGACCGCGCCTTGGCGGTGATACATTGACGCAAAGGTGTACGAACCATTGTTGAATGGCAAATGGACATCCTTTTCGACAGAGACCGGGACGCCAAAGGGGCGAGGCTGCTGGCACGGAATCGAAGCGTCACGGGAAGCTTCAGCAGTAGAGGCCAACACCATGAGGGCTGGAGAAGCAAGAGGGTTTGGCAGATAGGAGGAGCTCTCCATCTTGAAGGCTGCCCGGTGGAGGTCCATGTCTGGGCGGTCGAAGGACGTTGTAAGGATTTTAGGAGGAGGAGGAAAGGATTCCTCCTTAGGGAAGCCGAAGACAATACTCAGTAGCCCTTGCAATGGGTCTGATAGGTCTAGGATGTTGACTGAAATGATTTTGTCTTTGGAGAAAATCTTTTAAGAAACTCAAATCATCTACTGTTTCAGCAGCCAAATTCACAAGGGAATGATTTGGCTCAGATCATTCAGGTAAATGCCACTGCGTGTGTCTGGACCAGTCAGTTTTGTACACTAACAGTAGACAAGATGGAGGTTGTCTTCCAGAGCAAGAGCAGGTAAAATCTTCCCTCGCTTACAGGTGCTGGATGTGATGTTGAAGTCAAATGGTCCGAAAAAGGAGGACATCTGTGGATCGTCAAAGCTGGTTCATCATCTTCTGGCAGTCAGCATCTGAGAAGATTAAGAAAAACATAAATTGGTCAAATTAGAAAGAAATCAAAATGCTTCTGCACCTTCACAAGTGTAGATGGAAAAGTTGGGTACCCAACTACCTAAAACCAAATAACATGAACACAGACACATTCTTGTCCTAATGCTATTCCTCAAAGAGGCATTAAGCATTTTCAGCAACCAGACTGTCGTCTGTAAGCAGAGAAAATGAAAGGACCACCCGGGGATAAAAAAAAAAGTGTCCTCAAGTTGACACCGTTGATCCGATTGCACAAATCCTTCCTTTTTGAAAAAGATGGCGCACAAACATTTCAAAACCCCACTTTCACTTTCTTCTTTTACACAAAAAAAAAACTTTTCCAAACCCTTCTCACATCACCTCTTCCTCTACGTTTTTTCCCCCCCACATCTCGTCTCTTTCAAGTCTTTCTCATCTTGTCCTCACAACCCTCCTTATCAGACCGTCTCCTCCTCCTCTTCATTTTCTTTCCATCCTCATCACCTCTTCTCATCTTTCCACCGCTATCTATTCTCCCTCATTCCTCGATGTCAGATCTGGGGTTTAAGCAGCTTATACCAACCATCTCCCAGGATGTTATTGGACCAGAACCACTTGTCTTAAGATAAGGGGACACACACACAGATCCACGCGTCGCCCCCACACCCACACATCTGATAAGAGCCTGTGTGACTCAATGTTCAGCTCAACAGCTGACTCAGTGGGGCGAACACAGCCCCTCACTCTTGCGGGCTGTGCCGTCCTATCTCTCCATCTAACCACTTTTAATTCCCCCAATTTTTGCTATCTGTGCCCCCTTTCTTTTTGCATCTTTCCTGTCAATCTCTTCTCCTCTCATCCCTACATCTGTCCCTGATGTCTCCACCTCGGCCTCATCTTTCTCCCCCGGGTGACTCAGATGGGCGATATAATATCGGCCTCTCCATCTGCCGTCCACGAGTCAGAGGAAATCTGACTGAGTGAATAAATTAGCCGTACTTGACCCCACGACCCCCCCCTGCACAAAGCATCCGAGGCAAGAGACCAGAATTTTCTCTCCCGGGGATTAGATTGTCGGAGGGTACGGTCGGTTGGAGGAACGCAGAGAGGAAGCCAATGAAATGCAAAATAGCATCTTAGAGATGTTTATCTTCATAGGGCAATTTAAAGGTGACTGCCTTGTTAAAAGTCCAATATGTTACATTTAAAGTGGGTAAAGATATCTCTGTCATACATGTGAGAGGAGATACTTTTTTTATGTGTAAAATTTTTCTGCTTAAATGACAGGTCGCAAATGTATTAGTTAAACTGTTACAAGCAATGCCTAAAATAGATTTTATTACAAAGGTCAAAGATGTAGAGAAAAACAGTCAGGTTTGTTGCTGTCAGCATGTTGCATCATCTGTGAATCAAGTAAGTCATTATTATTATTATTATTATTATTATTATTATTATTATGAACATGGAGATAATTTATTTAATCTTGTCAACTTGTAGGCTCAATATTTGAGACTCTTATTTTGATGTAAAACAGGAAGCAGTTCTTCAGCTGCTTTGTTGTGTTGAACAAACTAAAAGAAATTGCTTTAAATGATCTGCAATTTTGCATTGATGCATCTTGGATACATTATGTGCAAAGAAAGAATGTACCACTGAACTTCAGCCATGTAGTCTTTTTTTTTTTTTTTTAAGTATCAGAGGTTCTGATTAGAACAAGTTTAAGTTTAGTAGCGGTAGTTTAGTTTTGGTAGAAAGAAGAAAATGTCACTTTTTCTTGTGTGTGATTTTTGGATGACGCTCCATGTCCAAAAATCACACACACTTTTTAATCTGAAGTATAGAAGGAAGAAGAAGTAGTAATTGAGTTGTTGCCATGTCATTTTGACAGAGTTAGTAATTTGCCTGGCATCACTGCAGTTATATTTGAGAAAAGTAAGCAATGAAAGTAATAAATAAGACAAAAACAGTACATCAACAATGTGAGGACATTGCTAACCAATAGCAGATAAAAAAAACCTAGATCTGCTTCATAGCTTCTATTCAACAAAATACCACATTTCACATTTTATTTTTGAGTCTACAATACGTTTGCTCGTTTCTGTTTTACAATTTCAATGCTATTTTGGCTTCATGAAGACCTAGAAATAGAAAAATATATCAACAAGTCGAATTGGACAAGATAGAGTCTTAGTTTTCATCAAATATCATCTTTGTCTCATGTTACAGATGTAACTGTCATAACTCTGGTAACGTATGCTTGTCTAAACACACAGCAAACTTTACCTCACACAGCATCGAGTAGTGCAGTGAGCTGCTCTGGTTGAGCTTCAAAGCTTCGCCGACTACCATCCGACATCAAAGGAGGAACTCCCTGGGAAATGGAAGAAGAAGAAGAAGAAGAAGAAGAAGAAGAAGAAGAAGAAGAAGAAGAAGAAGAAGAAGAAGAAGAAGAAACGTGATTTATAGCTATCAGCTGTCCAAAACAGTCAATTTTCAAATCAATTTTCAAATCTGATCTGGGACTTGGCATGGTCCTGTACCTCCCACACACGGAAAACAATGTTGCAGAGAGGGGGGGAAAATAGAGAGAAAGGGAAAAAAACGTGCTCCGGGGAAGAGAGGAGGAGATGGTGAGATGTTTTACATTACCACAAGTGTACAGTGGACGCGTGTGGAGTGAGAACAGCTTACGATAACACACCTCTGGTCTGGAACGATGCCACGGAGTCACATTACACATCTCTCATCCTAATTCACCAGCAACATCAATGGACTTTTTTTCCCCCCTCTCTGTTGTTGGCCACGCCAAAAGTAGCACCTTCCAACTTTAATCCTAGTAAAAATTATTTCTTTTAACCACTCTTCTGTTACTGTCCTGTCCAGTTTATGTGCTCTCTTTTACCATTTCTCAGCTGGCTCTCGCTCTGTTCCCTCTGTGTATCGGTACATGCGTTCCTTTGAACAACCTTTAGAAAAGGAGGTGTTAATATACATGGGAGGTGGGGGGGGGCAGTAACACACTGATGAGCACAGAGATATTACAATTTTATCATCATTACCCCCAACAAGTCAAGGGGGTGGCGAGTGAAGGAGCCACTAAGTGAAGGAGCCACTAAGTGAAGGAGCCAATCCAATAAGAGAACGGATGTTTCCTCACAGGCCGCAACGCGCAAGGAGAGAAAGGGGAGGTGAAATCTAACCAAAGGATGGGAGAAGACGGAGACAAAGTGAGGAAGCAAGAGAAAAATAAAAGATGGAGTTAAAGGCAGTCTCGTGATGGGTTTTTTTGTTCCACTGATCAATGTACGCTGACAATAAAAACACAGATAGGGAAAGAGAAACAGATTTCCAGCTCAGGATTTCAGGACGTCCAGAGTGTTTTAGAAAGTGCAAATGAAGAAATAAGTGTAAAGTCTGCTTTGTTTATATTTGTGCTGATGACATCACACGAGGCACAAGAACTGAGCTAACTAGCTGACGTTGGCAAACACACTGGGGTGACTTTCAGTGGATTCTCAGCATGCAAATAAAAACAAACTAATTGACAAACTCAAAGGAAGCGCTACCAGCTGCAAATTCATGGAATCTTTTTTATTATTATTATTTGTTTTGTATGATAAGTTATGAGAGAAAACAAGAAGGAGGAAGATGCTGATGTGTAATCAGAGCTAAAGGCTACAAATATTGTCTCTATGATCCAAGATGGCTGCCCTGAGTCTTGGTGGTATACTAACCATGACCCTGACCCAACCTTACATGAAACCAGGGGTGTAAATTTTTACCGGCCACTCAGACATTTCACCAGCCACTATTTTTTTTTTTCTTTTAATTACATACCCCATCAATACAAGCATTAACTCTGTGAAAACTGATTTACTGACAATAAGTTTACTGACAATAAGTTTACCGTACATACAAACTAATTTAACATAAAGCATGGATACCTTAACACACTGTAGTGCAGTAAGTTCACTTGAATTAATTACTAACAGCAAACTTTAACTACACAACCCTAACATTCCTGCAATCATTATCATTTTCTATGTTGAACATTTCGAGATTTTGGCTTCAACTCCCCCAGATAGTATTTACTTAAGATGCATCTAGTCATTTTTAAACATTTTTAAATGGTATCAATAGCTGTTTTCTAACTCTTCTATTGGTTTTCCCTTACTTATTACGTTTTCTATTGAAATTCACAATTTTTCTTATTACTGAAATATCTCAGAACGTGTTCATTACTAATTGCACATCATTCCTGTGTTATCTCAGTGTTTTTCAGACCGCCTGCTGCTAGCTTAGTGTAGCTTCCCCTCCCTGACTCACTCTCACACACCTGGCCTCCTCCCTGCATGAAACGCTCTTTTCTTCATGAAGATTTCCTCTCAATTTTACCGGGCAGCAGCAGCTCACCTGAACTCTTCCTCAATCGTGACGTCTCTCTCTCTCATCCTTCTCTGACGACAATGAATCACTAATTCCCCCCTCCATCTCCGCTACTCAATCTGCTCCAGCGGTCAAAGTTTGTGCGGTAAACATATCGGTTAGTTTGGCACATTTTTCTGAACAGGCTTATGTGCTTTTTAGCTTGCCGTAGTTTTTCTGAGACGGAGCGGGTCAGAAAAACCATAGACATAATATAAGCTTATATTATGTCTCGTATTGTATTCCCTCACTTTTCTCGGACTCTGGTTAGCTGTAATGGCGCTATCTATGACCTTAGAGGGGATGGGGCGGGCCAAGGAGAACCGAGGGATTTAATTGGATAAACCCAATGTCCGTCAATGAAATCAACCAATGGGCTGTCGCGCTCGATAAAAATTATATATATATATATATATATATATATATATATATATATATATATATATACACACACACACATACACACACACACATTTTTTTGATAAATTATGACAGCGTAGGGCCGCCAGATATGGACACTAAATGCATCAGTCTGTAAACCCAGACGGTCAGTCCTTCCCTGGATATAAGTTCAAACTGAATGCAGCATTTTTTTTTTCTGTTCAAATCGTCAACCCGCCACAGTGACAGGTGCGTTGCTCCAATTTACACGCCTCTTCATACTTTTACCCGCATTTGGCCAGTGGCGGGTGCTAATTTCCACCCCTGCGTCTAACCCCAAAACAGCACTTCTTCTTATGAGCCCCAGACATTGGGAACCTGTAAGAAGCAGAGGTTTCTCACAATGTAGCATTTGTTGGTAAAATGGGAGTTATAATGTGAGAAATGCTAAAACACACATACGGACATATTACACGCATTAAACCATAACACCACTGGTTATTATTTTCTTATCAGTAGAGTAGGTGTCAAACATTCCCTTATGTGTAATTTAAAGTGCAATCGGCCACACATGTAATATCTCCGTAATAGAAGTGTCAAACGGATGTTAATGGAGAGTGATGCGTGTTTCTTTTTTTTTTTTTTCCAACCTTATTTCCAGGACAACAATCATAATTCCAGGCGACGTACACCTATGCATATCATCAATATACGAGTGCAATTACTTCCTATGCAAACACGCCGAAAGTCAGCCGGATGCCACTTACAATCCCATTTACCACCGCGTGATACCGCCCACGCATTGTGTGACACCGGGGCCGCGCGCGTTTTGTAATAGGAAATGTCACGAGGGAACATTTACCACGGTGTCATTATTTGATTACAGTGTGCAGGAATGATGCAGTTGTCAGCGCGATATTAAACACAGAGAAGCAAGAGAGAGGGGCTTTTCGCGTCAAATTTGCACTTTAAGTGACAACGTGGTGCTAGCCGACGAAATTGCAGTGTCAACAACAATGTGCTTTTAGCATCGACGTTGGAGGAGAGCTTCGGCCTTAAAATACGAGTTACCGGAAAGACAAGGATTCCGTGAAAAAAATAAATGATGTTTTACAAAAAAAAAATTGTCATAGAATGTTATTTGATTGTAAGACAAATCAGGTGTGAAATTTAAAGGGCACTGAGGATTCAACACTTCAAGTCAAACAGAATAAAATGTACTTTCATTCATCTCTCAGATAATGCAACACTCTTCCTTTTTTATCAAACTCTTCTGAGTGTAGAAAGGAAAATTGGATCCAAAAAGCTACACCATCTCTTCTTCTTGAAAATATCCCTTGTCGACAATTGTGTAAATACCTTCTTTTTTCTTCTTCTTCTTCTTAGCAGCACTGCTTTGAGTGTCTAACTGATGCATTTTATGGCAACACAAAGACGAAACATGTCATGTCAAGTTTTCCAGAGTGTCTGCTGAGTTTCGGAGAGGAACGAGGAGAGAGCATCCAATTTTTTGCCATAAAAACGTCTTGTCAGCTTTGACTGCTGCGCGCGCGCATGTGTGTGTGTATGAGTCGGAAAGTAAAACAGCCAAAGAGCTGAGGGTTTTTCTTTTCTTTTAGTGGAGATGGAGAGAAAAGCAGGCAGTCTTAAAAAAAAAAATAATACGTGGGCCAACCTAAATGTGAGTGTGAGTTAGAGTGTTCACGATTCCAGCTCTCTGGGTATATTTAGAAAACGTTGACAAGCATGAAAGTGCCACTCTTGCATTTTATTACAAGTCAGGCCAAGCTGTGTCAGTCCTCTTAACTGCCTGGTGAAGACGCAAACACCCACACACACACAAACAAACAAAAAAAGAGAGCTTTAGAGCTAAAAACATTGTCGCAAAGATCAGGCCTCAAAAGTAGAAATCATAAAAACAGAAGCAACTAAAACCAACCGGTCTTAATATGAAGCAAACTAAAGTAATTGTGCTACTTGCTGGTTTGTCTTTCAGCTCGACCAAAACATTTTTGGCTTTTTTTTTTCTTATAAGTTGCATTTTTATTATTACTGTATCAGTTCAATTTTCAAAAGTGTATTTGAAAACAAATTAGCAAATGCTCACTCCTAATCTTGGCACCAATTATTATAGAGAGAGAAAGAAAAACATTAGAAGGAAAGCAAACTCTCTTTGAACTTCAGCGGTAAGCTGAGCGAGGCAATTGTTCCCACCCATCGATACAGGAAGGCGATTTCAAAACGAGCTCAAGTCTATCACTCTATCTGCGTGAATGATTAGCGGGAAGTGGAAACATTTTAGAGCCGCTGGCAGTCTTCAAAGGACTGGAAGTCTCAGCAAATTCACCTCAAGAAACTGCAAAGAAACCAAGCTGCATCGAGACTCTAACAGGCCTCTAAAGTTTGCCTGTTGAAACATAACATGACAGCACATTTCACAAAAAGACCTAGCAAGGGAAAAGTGTGTTCCCTATGTAAAGAATAGAATATGGGTGAAGTTATATGGATGGACCCCACACCTTCTGGAACAATGTCGTTTGGACAGAAGAGACCAAAGTAGAGATA